TGAATGTGCCTGTGTGTGCTCTGCAGATGAATGACAACCTCATTGAGAGCTGGAGTGACCTGGATGAGCTGAAAGGAGCCAAGAATTTGGAGACTGTATACCTGGAGCGAAACCCCTTGCAGAAGGACCCCCAGTACCGGCGCAAAATCATGCTGGCCCTCCCAACTGTCCGGCAGATCGATGCCACATTCGTTCGATTCTGATGCTCTTGCTGCCCTCTCTCCCCTGCCCTCCTCCAAGAAATGTCCCAGCAGGGTTTTTTATCCACTCACCATTCCCCAGGTCTTCAGTACACTGACACTTACAGGGCAAACAGTCAAAAAAAACCACTGAAACCAGGTCTCGTGTACAATGCACTCATTGTTTTTGAAATGTTATTATTATTATTATTATTATTATTAAATCTTGACACAAGAGCCTTCAGTGTGCCTGTGTTTTATTTTTTGGGGGAAGTTTTACCAGAAGGTGTTTGCAGCAGACTGAAGCCATGTGAGCCACTTGCTGACAGCTGTTGACTCTGTGCCACACGTTCAGGTTAGGAATCTCCTTGCAAACACCACATACGGATCAAGGCTCAACAGTGGCCTGTAAAAATGTGAAATAAAGATCTGGTGAAGATCCCCACCCAGGTTAGTTTGCAGGTATGAGTCAGTTCTAAATATCTGGTGATACAACATGGGGCTGCAGGGGGAGTAGCCTTCTTGTACTCATGTTTTTAAGCACAGCTGCGAGCTCATGAGAGGACTGGGGACAAACTGGTGTTAATATATTAATGTGAGCAAGGTAGGGGTTTGTTGCAGACAGTGTTTGCAGTCAGAAAATCTGAATCACATCCTGCTTCTACTGAAGGTGGCAGTGTGGCATTGCTGTCCCTCTTTATCTGTGCTTGATCCAGGCCATTGAACTGCATCATCTCTCCAGCTGAAAAACCCTGGGAAGCACTTGCCATCTGCTGCTGTGTTTGTCCAACAGGCATGTCATCAGTCCAGGGGAACAAGGAAAACACAGGAGGGGTGCTTGAAAATGCTCCTGGTCAGTTTGATTCATTCTGCTCTGACATGAATTTGAATCTTTGAAAGAGTGGGATGAGTCCCTTCTTCAGCTGGAGACCAGGAATATTAAGCAGGACCATGTGGTCCTGTGAAATATTTTAGTTCCTCTTTGTTCCTTTATTTCCTCTTTGTGGGCTGCGTTGCATTTGCTCACAGGCAGCTCTGCTGTGAATTGTGATGCTGCTGGAGGTGGTGTGGTGATGGGGATTGACTGGGGAACCTGCACCCCATCTTGTCACTGAGTTGGGAATGTGGTGAGTTTCTTTGAGTCCCTCAAAGTGCCACAAACCCTTCCTGGGGTCTGTCAAAGCAGTGTCTCAGTTACTCTCTTACATGGGTGCTGTACCCCCACCCTGTTCCTGGGCTGTGTCCCCTTGACTGGCAGCACCCAGCAGGCAAAACACAGCTGAAATCCCTTTCCTTGTATCAGACTTGGTCCTGGTGTGGGAAACCATCCCCCAGGAGCTGAGCTGGCAGCAGGACAACTGTGAGAACAGGGACCTGCAGGAGAGATCTGCTGCCATCCACAGGACTTGGAGAAAGACATTTCTGGACAAGCTTCACTGCTGGGATACACGTAGAAAAGGTACCCAGTGATCTGACTCTGGATTTCTATCCCCTTGTAAATGCAGCCTTGATTTGTGGATTTTGGGGGCCAGGGGAGGATATGCCCAGCCATGGGGGCCTCTCACAGGCAGGGAGACAGGGCTTGCAGGGGTGTGATGTGTTTGTGTTCATCTTCAAGGTCAGCTGCCAGGCTGATCCACACCAGCACAGTCACCCCAGTGCTGCCCACATAAACATGTGCAGGTGACAGCAGCCTTATTTTTTATCATCTGCTGGAGTCATCACGACTCATGTGGAGAAGCAAGTGGTGCCTTACCTGCTGCTGAGGGCACCTGCAGCCTGCTCTGCTCCTGTGCAGCAGCTCCAGCTCTGGGTGCCTCTGCAGATGAGGGGCTGTGGTGCCCAAGCTTACAGGGGAAAAGGGACAGTGCCTCAGTGCTCCTCACTGTCCCACTGCATGAGCAGCTGCATTTCTGCGGGGCTCTGATGGGGTTTGCTGCCTCCTTGCTTTCCAGGGGACCCAGTGATCCCAGTCACCACTTTTGTCCCATGGACAGCTGTAGCATTAATTTTGCTTCTGAACTTCTCCAGAGCCCTTCTTTCCCTGGATCCTGAAAAGCAGGTTCCTGAGCCTTTGGGCAGGGCTGAAGGACAGGGGAGTGCTGTGGCAGGGGGACTGTCCCATCAGAGAGTGGGAGCCCTCCCATGGCCACAGGATGGGACTGGGATACTGGGACTGAGGCAGTGCTGTGGGCTAACTGGTCCCATTCTGGGACCCCTCATCAGCCCTTGCTACCTTGGGAAACAAGAAGAGGGCTCTGTGTGAACCAGATAAGCCCTTCTTTCCCTGGGGCTGCTCTGGATGCATTCCTGGTCTCAATGCCGGGGGTGCTCACTCACAACTCCAAATGGCTCCTGCACGTTTGTCGGCTGTCCCAGAACACCTGAGCTTTCTGGAGTTCTGCAATGAGGAGCTGGGTGCCAACTTGGAGAGACCCTACACTGGCCTTCCCAGCTGGTGTGTGCTGTGGGAATTCCTTCCCATGCTCAGGGGCTGATCTCTGTGTGCAAGCAGGCTGAGGGTCCCGCTGGGCAGCCTAAGTGGATGCTCCACGGAGCTGCCACAGGAGCTGCTGGTCATCGTAGGGGCAAGCGGATCATCAACAACGTGCAGGAGGTGGATGTCCTGTGAGTACACCCTGGCTTGCCAGGGCCATCATGTGTCCCTGAGCTCACACAGGATGCCAAAGGCGTGTTCAGTAGCAGAGGACACGTGGCCCTTCTTTTTCTCCTCCAGGAAGCTGAAGTGCTGGTGGCACGAGTGGAAGCTCCTGTCAAGCAAGAAGGTGGGTGAGGAGGGGGAGTTGGCCTGGTGGAGCAGGCACACTGGGTTATGGCCCACCCATAACCACTGCTGGGGGTTAAAAGGGCTGATAGGTGAGTACCTGGAGATGGATAGGGATTGGCCTCAGGCTGGGGAGTGCTGAGAGGTGCTGGGAGAGAGAAAGCTGGGGTAGAGAGGCGGGAACTACAGGAGTCCCCCAGACAAAGGAGCTTTCACCCTGAGCAGCCTGCAGGGGCTGGAGGGAGAAGGGCTGCCCCACTCCCCATGGATTGGGACTGCAAGATGCTGGTTAATGATGCCATCTTAGTCTGCCCCTCCCTGCTCCTCTTCCTCCTCTTTCTTCTTCATCTTTGTGATGAAGCCAAACTGCAGAACTAAAAGGAAGATGGCAGCCTGTCCCTTGGCCCCTCTTTTTGCCCTGCTCAGCAACTGGGTGGAGATCTGCTTGGGTGCCCACAAGCGCATCTGTGACTACCAGTGGCCTGTGGCATTGGCATCTGGTTCTCCCTCCTGGAGGTCATCACTCACCTGGACATTGTCAGCAACGTGTGCTGGGGGGGCAGTGGGGCATGAGGAGGCTGCAGGTGGAGTAAGGGAATTGGGGGAGAACTCGTTTGGGTGTTGCAGGATGCAGCATGATGAGGGGAGCAGCAGTGCTCAGGCTGGCTCTGCCTGTGCAGAAGGTGCAGCTCCAGCCATGGGCAGTGGGCAGCTGTCATGCTCTGGGCCTTGCTTGGCAATAACTGGGGGAAGAGAACAGCTGTCTGCTGTCCCAGACCAGTGTCATGTCTGGTTTGTCAGGCTGAGGGCAAGGAGAAGCAGAAAGCCACCCCAGAAGCACAGGGCATGAAGGAGGGTGGGGATGGGGATCTGCTGCAGCACATCTCCCTGCTTCCAGGCCTTCCTCATAGCCTTCACCTCTGATTTTCTGCCCCATGCATACTACAGGTACATCCACAACAGCAGCTTCAACATGAACTTCACCTTGGTGCACGCACCATGGGACTTTGTCCTGCAGAGCAACACCCACACAGCTGGGAGCCTGCTCCTGCCTCGGCTGGCTCCTCCTTCCTTAGCCTTGGCTCTTGCCTTTCTCTGCCTCTGCCACAGCAAACGTTCTGTTCAGCAGAGCAACTTTTGGCCAAATCCACATTGTCCAATCACTTCCTTGAGGTCCTGGGAGCCCTCACTCATGCCAGGGCTGGGTGTGTGCTGGACACGTCTGTGTGCAGGGCAGTGGGGAGGGCCACTGGACACCACGGGGCACTTTTGTTCAGAATAAACTGCCCTGGGGCCAGGTTACCTGTGGGACTTGGGTACCAGAAGAAGCTGGCTGAGGGCTGGTTCTGCTGTGCTCTGGCATGCCAGGTTGGGAGCAGGAGTAACGGCTGGGAAGCTGAGTCAGTACCTGCTGCACTTTGCTCCCTCAGATAGAGCATTCATGGACCAGGAGAGCAGCCTGACCTTGACTTAGTGGCAGCTGCTGGCTGCATGCTCGGGTTTCATCATTACCTTTGAGGTACCAGTTGCTGAGCCCAACTGGGTGGCCCAGGGTGTGGGGCTGGGGTAGGGGTAAGGACTCACCATGGCAGCCAACTCACACCTCCCATCCACTTCCAGCATCTGGGTTTTGTTACTGGTTGTGACTGCATGGCTGGTACCCGGCGTTCCTGAGGCTGTGGAGGTTAATATGAAGCATGAACAGTACCTGGCCAGAGGCTCTGGCTGTGGAGTGGCTGAGCAAGAGGGATCATGGCTGGTGTCTCCCCTTCCTGCCTTACACCAGCAGCATCCCTGGCACCAGCTACCCGGAGGCAAGCAGATTAGTGTTTCCACAGCCCCCTGCCCCTTTCCTGCTCTCACCCCTTTCATCGATCCACTGCTTGCCATGTGAGTCCCACCCCTTCAAGGGCGTGGCCACAGCAAAGGCTCAGGCATACAAACTTCTAGTCTTTGAATGCCTGGCTGAACCCAGCCCAGTATGGGCTGTCTTGGATCTCACCCCACCAGCAGAAATAATACCCACCACACTCCAAGCTGTTTCAGGTTTTATTTTAGAATTTATAAAATTCCAGTGTCATCCATACTCAGGAGCCTTTTTACATGTTTGCATATAGTCTCCAAATTCCAAAGTTAAGGCCAAGGGATCATTGCTATGGAAACATACAATATGGAAGACGTCAAAGAGAAGAAATGGACACATGCCACAGTCTGCTGCAGAAGGAGGGTGGTGGGGGGACAGTACTAGGTACAATCACTTTGTGACCTTCTTTAGAGTGGAAGGTTGGGCTGTGGGGCATAAGCCCAAGGCAGTGGATGCCCTGGATGTAACTCAAGCCTTGCTGTGGAACTGGAGAGGGCACGGGGGCATAAAGAGGAGGGGGTGATAGGCTTGGTGATGCAGGGCAGATCTAAACTACAGGGTATTAACCATTTCCTGACAGTCGCAGATGGGAAGGTACCTCCCTAATTCTTTCTCCCGTGCTGGAGGCAAGGCCACCCTGTCTTTCAGGGGCAACCAGGCACCCCACAATGGGCCACGGTCTGTTTCACTCCATTCTCAGACTAAAGGAGAGCACTGTGAGGTTTGGTTTGACTTCTGCATAGCAGTCTCTGCCAAGAAGAGCTGGAGCAGGAAGGAAAAGCATCAGCATGTTCAGCCTGTCCCACGGAGGGAAAGGCAAGGTGGCTGGGCTCAGCCTGCCTGTTGTGCTCTGTCAGTAGCACTAGAGAAGAGAGGCTAGGGACTCCTGCTCGTCCAAGAACTGAAGCAGCTGGGACAGAGGAATGGCTCAGACTACAAGCTCTGTAGGACCGATGCAGGGGCATACAAAAACCCCATGCTACATGCCTCCCTTCACAAAGATGTGATTTTCCTCTCACTTGCTGGAGGAGCTCAGACACAACACCCTTTGAGCAAGCTGTGGCAGGGCCCAGGTGCAAGCAGCCCCAAGTACAGATTGTGGATCACCCTCTACCACATGATGGAGGTCTCAGGAAGGCTCAGCACACTCATCAACCCCCAGTGCTGTTGGAGCAGAAGCTTGGCTCACACAACCTCTGCAGCCCAGGGCTACGGCACAGTTGCACCCGCAGCCCTGGGGCCAAGCCCTGTGCTGGCTCATGCACTCCTACAGATTCACAGCCTGCCTCAGCACCACCATGCTCTGTTTCCCTCTGGAGCAGCTCTCACAGCTGTGCGGAGACAAGGCTCCTCTTGCTTCTGCTATGGCTGCTCAGGTGACAGCTTGAGTAGCTGCTAACCCATGGCCATTGAGAGGCCCCCATCGTATTGATGTTTGAGGTAGAAAGAAGGCAAAAAGGAACGGTGTGACTGCTGCTCGTGCCGAGCTGCTGCAGCACTCACAGCGGACTACAGCTTCTCCAGGCTCTGCATCCCACCAGCTGCTCCTGATCCAGTCACTGCAGCAACCTTGGCCGAGCCAAACCTGTCCCATCCAGCCACACTGCCATGTGCTGGCTCTCCTGCCTGCCCACACTGCTAGGAAGAGGGAACAAGGAGTGGGGTCTGTCATCAAGCACTGGAAGACTGGTCAAGCGTGCAGGCTGGGGTTGTGCTTGGTGCGGCGCAGGAACACGCGCTCACTGCGCTCACTGGTGTTTTCCTGATCAGGGTAGCCATACGTTGTTCTGGCCCCTTCCATCTCTGTTGTCTCTACAGCCTATTGAAGGTTTTGTTTCTTTAAAAAGCAGATTTCTGACCTTATATTTTAAGCTCTCCCCACAGTCAGCTATCAGCATGAAATGAATTTTTGGCAGTTAAAAGGAAAAAAAAGTTGATTGCACTCTACAAAGGTAAGGTAAGGCCTGGGATAAACACAAAGGAAAGAGGGCAAACGTTTTGGCTTTAGAAAGTCAAGGAAATTTATTTCCTGAGGTCATGAGACAGGAAGTAGATTCCTAGCCACAGTAAAGGAGGTCTCCTAATGAAGGCGAGAATGCCTAGTCAGACATGCTCGAGAGCAGATTGCTCTGCTAGCGCTTGGGAAGCTGCAAATCTTAGCCACTTGAAGTCAATTATGAAGGTTCTAACAAAAACACACACATTTAGTGTTTGAATCTGAGTGGAAGTCTTGTTCCAAAGGAGGAAAGAATATCCATCAAGAGATGAGGGTGGGTCCTAGACACGGTGATTAGCTGAGGGGAGCAGGATGGGGTCTAGCACTCCAGACACCATTAGGAGACCTCTTGGGACAATTGATTTGTGCTCCAGCCGCTGGGTCAGATTTCGGACAGGAAGTATTTGTGGCAGGTTAGTGTCAGGTCAGCAGGCTGGAGGAGTTTCTGCTTCCAGGTCATTATCGTTTGGGTCCCCAGGGAAGAGTCTTGGGGGCCACTTGAGCCCCAAAGCTGGGGAAGTCTTCGGAACTGCTCATATCAGGGGCCTAGAGCAAACAAAAAGGGAACAAGTTAAGCTCCTGCCCTGCTGCGAACTTACACCAAGAGGCCCTGAGCTAAGCAGCATCGTTGATATCCCAGGAGAGACAATTGGGAAGATAAAGAGGATCACTGTGGCCCCAGAACAGCTAGAGGTTAACAGTGAGGAGGGTGAAGATAAGGTGCAAAGGGCTCCAAAGCTCAGTAACTGAGACACTGGAGCAGGGTCAGGCCAGCCCTGCAGCAGCACTGGGGCAGCTGAGGATGAGCTACCACATGTCCCAACTCAGAGCTGCAAACACTGAGCCAGTGACTGAGCTGCAGCAAGAGTCTCAAGTCCCAGGCTCTATCCCTACACCTAAAAATAACACAACCTGGCAGGACACTTTCTGGTAAAGATCCCCCATTCCCTAACAGCTCCACAGTGGTGTAATCGGAGTGGACAAGACACTGGGAAAGTGCTTTGAAAGCTGGACAGGAGAGCCCAGGCCTATGCTCAGGCCACAAAGAGCAGCAAAAAGCTGCTTTGTCTGTCACCAAGGAGAGAGGGTGCTCTGTGTCCCCAGCACAGACAGAAGCGTCCCCATACCCTGTACCCCCAGCCTGCAGCACAAGCAGCACTCACCTTCTCGTTGTTGACGGTGGCCCAGGGGGCATCTCTCACCACAAAGCCCTTGGATGGGGCCTTGGACTCTTCATGTGAGGAGGGCTTCATGTACACCTGCATTGCCTCGTTGTCCACCACATCTGCAAGCTGCAGTAACACAACCAGTGAGAGGGGATCTGGATAGCTCCTCAAACTGGAATAAAATGCCTACCCTTCCATCTCACCACATTGAAACCTGTTCAAGCTCAGCAGCCTGTTCTACAATGACCAAAAATGGTGTGTCTGCACTAGTCTGAGGGATACAACTTTTAATTGGTGTAAGCTCCTACAAGGCAAGAGCACGCACATCCTGGGGTGTCCCAGCATTCTCATTCACTGTCCTCTCCTGGACACAGGGGGCAGTCCAGCTGGTTTGAGGGACAGCTGCAGTGGAGGCTGACAGCCACCTGCACAGGGCTCAGTTTCTCTAATGCAGTGGAAGAAGAGACCACATGGACATAGTTCAGACATCCTCTGTAGCAGGGGAAGCTCTTGCTAAGCCCCATCACAGATTTGCTGAACACTTACATACTCCTCCTCCAAGTTCAGGATGTGATCAATAGCTTCTTCCACATTCTCAGGGAGTCCTGTCACAGTCACACAGTTGGGGTCAGGAGCTCCACTCTGGGGAAAGCGAATATCCACCTGTAACACAAGGAACAGCACAAGACTTAGACCTGCACATCTGAAATGTCAGAGACTCCTCATGACCCATGTCACTGGAATCACAGATCACTGATGCCCTAATTACTGTCTGTTCACAGACACAAGCCTGTTTCAGACCTTCACAGCTCAGACACTGAGGGGTAAGCAAGTATATAGCTGGCCCCAAAGCTTGCCCAGTTTCCTGCAGGGGAGAGCAGAGCACTCTAGTAAGGACCTAATTTCCAGCAGCCCCTGCTGCTCTCACTCCCAGAGGCTCACTGTTTTCTGGGCACCTCTGCAGCAGCAGCAGGAGAGTGGCTGCATTTCCAGACAGTGTCCTCACACTGCTGCAAGCATTTTTACCACTGAGCCATCACTACAAAGCACAATGAGCTTTCTGTGTTTGCCACAAAATAATCCTGGCTGACAATCACTTTACAGAGCTGGCCTAGTGCATCCCATGCACAAGCACTGTGCTCTCTCACACCCTGCCTTTCAGATGGATGCCAGAAATCTAAACAGGACAGGACCAAACCCAAAGGCTGCTCATTTGGGAACCAGTTTGTTTCAGTAATTGAGCCCAGCCAAAATGCAAGTCTCCAAAATCCCATCCCTCAGTATTCACATTCACTGCGGCCCTTGCAGTGAAGCCTGCTGCTGATGCAATACATTATCAGAGCAGAGGTCCCTGACCTTCCTGGAGCCAGCTGACATTGCCACATCCGCAGCCCTGAGAATACACCATGATTCCTAAAGTCAAGGGGATCCACAGTGGCCTAGAGAAAAGCCAGAGGAATTCCCTGAGTTAAGCTCAAATAGCTGGGGGGGTCTGGGGACAGCCTCCTCACAGAGCCTCCCAGCAAGAGGCCTGGCTGCCCACTTCCAGTAATCAGAGTAGCTCTGCCTCTCTCAAGATCAACTGGGACCCTGTCCACAAGAAACCCAAGAAAAGGGCTCTAGAGAGGGACAGAACCCAGTGCTAATCCAGAGCACCAAGGAAGCATTCTCAGGTTCCAGTTCTGTCTGGGTTCCAGCAAAACAGGAAAAGCGCTTGGCCCGGCTCCCAGAGAAAAATGACTCAGAGCTGAGGTGTGAGGATGCTTTAGCTGGTGTCTGCCTACAGTGTCCAGACAGCCTGGCTGCCCTGGGCATACCAGGGTGCCCTGGGCCAGGGATGCAGCTCATATGCTGGGGGAGCTGAAGGTGAGCAGGGCAGCACTGGCATTGTTTCATGTCTGTTCTAACTGAAGATGCTGAAAAGGCACAAGACACAAGAACCACAAGATGTGAGCCTCATTCATCACCAAGCTCTTTACACAGGAGAACGTGGCTGCCCAGGCCCAGCCTGGCACTGACCTGTGTGGCACTGCCCCGCTGCTCACCTTGAACTCATCCATGATTTTGCGGATAGCTTTTCCACGTGCACCAATGATGCGTGCATGAACACGATGGTCCAGAGTCACATCCTCGGAAACCATCTGCTCCAGCTCACCCACGATCTTCATGATGGCATCCCGGGCAGCCTCAGCATTCTTCTCATAGCCAGTAATGGTGATCTGGTCTTGGGCCTGGGGACAGAAATGTGTGAGACCAAGCTCATAAGCAGCTGAGCAAGCTTTCTCCCTGCTAACCCCCTTTACCATCCACCTTATCCAAAAGCAGTGGAGAGAGTATAGAACTCTTGAGAAGATGCTCAGAGACAATCACTAGCCATCCTTGCACTCTGTCCGATCTCTCACCTGGCTTTCATCATCTTTGTCAGGGAACTGGATGTTGACCTCATGCTCTGTGCGTATCTGGGTGATCACTGCTCCCTTCCTCCCAATGATTTTAGGGTGGTACTTGGGATCTACAGTGACTGTCAGTTTGAAGCTTCGCAGGGCCTGGAAGAGAAGCAGAGTGAGAACAGTGAACACACTGTGGCTGTTCCAGGGATGTCCACTTAAGTCACAGCATTTCCTTCTGGCATCTGAAATCCATGGAACAGATTTTGCTGGGCCATGCCTGATCACCCAAGCCATCCATCCACTGGAGCCTTGTGCTTTTGCCAAGTTCAGAAGGAAATTGCTAACAGCAAACAACCACCCAACTCATCCCTAACCTATTATTCAGGGCTGTGATAAGGATTCAGTGAGGATAGGCAGAGAGAGACTGGCAGCACAGTGAGGTTCCCACCTGCCAGTGTCTCAAAAGTACAAGAAGGTGTGAGAAAGACCTGGTCAGTCCAAAGCTACGTTCCCAAACTCTGTCTGTTCATGGTAAATGAGCTGCATTTGAGTAACCCATTTATGACCATTGCACACCCACAGAGCAGCTAAGGGTGCCTCTAAAAGATGAGGTGTTCCAGGAGTCTTCACCCAGAGGCTGAGGCCATGTTTGGCTGGAAGGAAGGAGGAGAGGCACAGGCCTTACCCGATCCTCTTGTTCAGCTTGCAGCTCCTTCACTCTTTCCAGGAGCCCAACCTTGGCACGGTCCAGGTTGGTAGCCAGCCCAGTGATTGTGATGATATCTGACTGCAGCTCAGGAGCAGGCACCTGGATGTTCACCTGAATAACAAGTAGTGATTATCATTTTGTATCACTGCTCATTCTGTATCGCTTGTGATTCCTCTGACTGCAAGCTAGCATCTCACTGGTCTCACCTGACACCAAGACCAGCTCCCACCCCGGCAGCCTAAAAACCACAGAATGGCTGAGGTTATAAAGGACCTCTGGAGGTCACCAAGCTGGCCATCTGGAGTCAGTTGCCTGGGACCATTTCTAGATGGTTTTTCAATAGAACTCTTTTTCTCCAGCCGCTCTACTGCCCTAGAGAGGCCAGGAAACAAATATATTTTCAACAACACTGACTGCAGCCAACCTGCATCAGCCCCAGAGGCTCTGGAGAATTCTCCTGAATGGGTAGGCACAGCAGAGCTGTTTCCCAGGGCCAAGGAGGAAAACAACTCTCATACTGATGAGGAATTCCTTGCAGATATCAAACAAGTCATGCAACACTCACAACATCAACACTGATTGCACAAACCTACCAAGCCCTGGATCTAGGGTCCAAAACACAAAGGGATCATTTTCCTATTATGGAGCCTTGTATTGCACAGCAGACCTGAGCATGTTGTAACTGTCCAAACCTCCAACATGGTCACTTACAAATTCTCCAGGACAGAGGAGATGGAAGGAAGAGTAACAACTTACTTCAAACTCATCCATCATTTTGCGGATCCCACTTCCTTTCTGGCCTATGATGTAACGGTGAAGATCAAAGGGAACTTCCACCTCAATGGTGACAGGAACCAAAGCCTGCGGGGGATGGAGCATGGTTTACCAGTGGAAAAACTTCTCCTGTCTTCCAGCTTGCCATATAGTTGCCCAAAAGAACATGTTGCTGAACAGAGGTACATTCCCTTGTAGTCAGGATACAAATTTCACAGGAAGAGAGGACAGCTGGGAACACCAAAATGACCTGACGCATGTTTTCGAAACAAGCCATCTGAAACCCCACCTGTGGGACAGGTTGTTTTCACATCCTTGGCTTTAGTCTAGCAGAGACTTGCAAAACAGCACTACAGAAGCACAGCAAGGTCTGCTGAACCTGGAATGACTCAGCCTCAACCAGACTCCTCCTCTTCCCAGCTGTGCTCCGTAAAACAATCATGTCATACACTTACAGCTATTGGGGCTGCTTACAAGCACTAGTAATTGCAAAGTCAGGCACTATGATTCAAGCTTCCAGGCTAAGATACAAAGCAGAGTGGCTTCCCTTGAGCAGTGCAGACCGCCTCTGTAACCAGCATCACTGACCTCTTGCATTGCAGCTGGACTGAGCAGCTTTTACTACCACCACCAAAAATTACATCCAAGCATCACCACCTTAACAGGCTGAGAAAGCCACACACCTGGAGTGCTTCCTTTGCTGCCTCACACTTCTCCCTGCGGCCAGAGATGATGATGATATCACACTTCTTTGGAGAGCTGGGATCTGTGTCCTTCCCTTCCTTGCCTTCCCCACTTTCCTCACCATTCTCCTGCACAGCTGGCTCCACAACAGGGGCTGAAAACATGGAAAGTCTTGTGTTCAATGCACTGAGCCCCCTCCTTGCTTATCATCTCCGTCCTCCAGATCCTAAGGCTCAGCCACCAGTGAGAGCTCAGAGAGACCTCACTATGTCCATAGAGCCTTTTAAGTCAGGGTAAGTCCTTGTTCTCCCATTGTACTCTACAATGACAACATGTTCACAACACCCAGTTCACACTGCAGTTTGACCTTCTGAAACCATCCCCTTCCCAAGAGGACAAGGTTGATGCTAAGCCCAGATTCAAGGACACTGCAGGAACACCAGGGATCAGTTCTCTCCATAAATTTTAAGTAGAACATGCCCACTGGTACAGAGTGTAGGCTACACTACACTTATTTAATAATCTCAACTACCATCCAAACATACATCCACAGGTATACCTGGGGTTTCCTCCCTGTCAGGGAATTTGATCTGAACACCATAGTCCCGGGTGATCTGTTGGATTCGGGATCCTTTGGGGCCCATAATGGAGCGGTGGAACTTTTGTGGAATGGTGCATTCGATTGTCACTTGAGCTTCCTGTGGGAAAGCAGAGTTGCTCTATTGTGATACAGCCTCTTTCACACCAGAAAACAGGATATTTGTGCATGGTGAAATCCAAAATGGACACTGAGAGGAGTCAGAAAAGATAACAATGGCTGACAGGGGAAGAACTGAAAATTTCGTAGAATCATTCCTCTCTGAGAAGAGCAGAGGATTTAAAGAAGGTTTCCTTCAACTCAGGACATTAAAGGTTGCCAAGAGCAAAGCTCAAACTCTTTAATACCCTGAAGAGGAGGAAGCATTAGAAGAAATGAAAAAAAATAAAGATAGAAGGGAATAAAGTGTCAAGGTTTGACACTTGACTGCTTCCAAAAGCCAGTATTCACAGTGCAGGAAACCCCTGAAAGCAATCACTGCCAAAGGCCAGACACAGAACGCACAGGAAGGCTCCAATCTTTTAATGTCTAGATGTATATCAAGGAGTGGTCTCCTACTTCCACCCCTAAAAACCAAGAAGACTGTCAGAGGAGGAAATTCATTCCTACAGCATTGCCATTTTGGAGCCAGCTGCTACCCCCAGACCAGGATCTAAAGTCTGCAGACCCTGTATGTTGACAGCAAAGGTTCAAATCCAAGAACTACCATGGGACTTGTTCACATAAAGCTTGGTCATACAGCAAGTTCAAGTACGACACTGCTGAAGGAACAGAGTGCAGAAGAAACAGTTTTTCTGCAACATACCAGGTCCTCGATGATCTCCTGGATGCGTTTCTTGGCTGCCTCCACACAATCCTTGGCTCCCTTGAGGGTGACTTTATCACTCTGGGTACCAGAGCGCGGGAAGCTGACCATCACACCACCATATTCATCTGCAATCTCACGGAGAACTTGTCCTCGACGGATGACAAAGTGGCGGTGGTGCTTGGGGTCAACCACCATGGAGTCTTCAACCACGTTATCCTGCCAACATACAATGACCAGTCAACCCCATCTGTCCTGGTGACAGGCACGAGTTGGCTGCACTCAAGAGCAATCAGCTTACAACCTCACTCCAAGGTAAGAAAGGAACTTCCTGAGCTCCCACGAAGGGCAGCAAATGGTTTTAGGACAAGCAGCTCCTTCATGGTGACTCGTTAACACCTTGCCACAGCGAGAGGCAAGAAAGTAGAAAAAGTTCATACCAAGTTCTTGATGAGGGCCTCCAGCTCTTTCTGTGCCTCTTTGACAGCCTCCTCTGTTCCCATGATAGTGATCAGTTCCTGATCTTTGTCCTCAGAGGTGGGGAAGATGATGCGGGCCCCTGTGTTGTCTCGCACCTTACGGATGTTGCCACCACCCTTACCAATAAGGAATTTGTGGTACTCTGGCTTTGCACGGAGGTCCACAGTATAACTCTTTGTTTGCTGAAAGGAGCCAGAGACCCATGGAACATGTCAATATATAGAAAATATCCATCAGCACCAACAGTCAGCATGTAGATATGTTACCTGCATCCACATGCAGAGGGCTGCAAAAGCAAGGTAGATGCAGTGCACCATTGAAAGTAAAAAAGGTATACAATGACTTAAATTAAAGACACTACCCCAAAGATGTTCTCAGGGCCAAAAAACTAACTGTACACTCAGCACGACCAGTGAGAATATAAGTAGAGCCTTCCCTAGGAGAAGGGTCTGACCCACACAAAAAGCAACACAATCATTTGCTAACTGACTACTGCAAGCCAGGCTCACAGAGGGAATCAACCAATTCCCAGGGAGAACTTGTTCACAAGCTGACCCCAGAAAGCTTGCTATTAAAATGACCAGTCAGCCACAACTCAGAGCAAGGTCTTGTAACCAAAAGTTCTCACATCTGAATACATGCAGTGAAATGGAAGAACTGGAGTTGAAATGCAGAGATCATGAAAAAAGTGAAGGCCAGAGTAAACTGTTTCAGAGAAGTGCAGCTAGCTACCCAAGAACATTCAAACCACAGAAACAGGGAGCCTTAACTCTGACTGTATCATCAGTCTGGCCAGAGATGCTTTACAGACAGTTCTTCTATTTATGAGAGAAGAGCTCATTGTCACAAGGATGAAGTACAGCTTTCTTTTAATCATCCAAACTGTACTCAGATCCCTCAAAAGAGGATTTGTTCAATCGATGCCAAAGGCTTTCATGCAGAAAAGAGGGAACCACTTCAACCTCCAAAAAGAAACAGCTGGTCAAACCAACCTGTTCCTTCCCCTGTAAGGCAAGGCTCACCTTCTCCTCTGCCAGATGTAGCAGCTGTTTCTTGGCTTTCTCCACATCCTGGGCTGGGCCCCTGATGGTCACAGTGTCACTGCCAGAGCCCTCTGTAGGGAAGTGGATGTGGACTCCACCACATTCCTCCATGATGGAGCGGATGAAGCGGCCTTTGGCGCCAATGAGGGAATTGTGGAGTTTGGAAGGAATAGAGACTTCCACCTCTGTGATGTTGGCCTAAGCAAGGACAGTACTGGGTGTCAGTCAAGCTGTAGCAACATGTTTGCACAGACTCTGCTTGCCCTCTAACTCCCCTATTGCCAGGAGCTCTGCAGAGCGAGTGTGAGAAATGCCTGACCAGAGGGAATTGGGACTGGCCACTCCTAACACGTGGGCTGACAAGAGTCAACAGTCTGACATCCATATTTGTCTCCCCACTTCTGCACCCCACTGCAAGCACTTCTATATTTTTATCTCCTGTAACTCCTATATTTATGTTTTCAAGTCCCTAATCTGCCACAGGCCAGTTGTTTCACTTACCAGCTCCTTTTGAATAGCCAAAATTCTGTGGCGAGCAGCCTCACAGTTTGCTCTTTTGCCTGTGATAACAATTGTCTCCGAGTTGCTGTTCTCAGCTGGGAGATCTATTTTGGTGTTGCTTTCTTCACGGATCTGAAAAAAAAAAAATCTCAGCAAAATCATTTGAGAGGTGTCCCATGTCAGATAAAAAGGCCTTGGAGGTTTTATTTTACATTGCCAATGAGCAGGGGAGACCAGTGAATGAGATTTTGCTGCAGGAAGTCACCACAACAAGCAGTGAAGACAGGAAAGATATCTCACCTTCTTAATGTTGGCACCTCCTTTCCCTATGATGTTCTTGTGGAATTGTTTGAAGATGGGAACAGAAATAGAAAAGCTGTTTTCAACCTAAGAGAGAGAGGAAGGGAGAATTGAAGGTTACACCATTCTGGCAAGTGAGGCCCCATCCCAGGAACTTGATAAACAAGCTTCTGATAACAGGCTTAGACCCGAGGAATTCTCCATATGGGACACTTCCAAGATTAAGCAAAGACATGTACCCTCTCCTATAGCCCTTAAATAACAGGTATTACTTGCCCAATACACATAGAATCACGTCCACAGTTCCCTCATCTTGAGGTGTGTCAGCCCTACACAAGCTCTGCTCTACTCCAGGGTTATCCAAGCATGGAAGAGAGAACAGCAGATGAAGTCTGCCTTACCAGGTCTGCCACCATCTTTTGCATGTACTTGGTGCACTTCTCCACCTCATTTTTGGGACCTCTGAGTTGGACAATGTCACTCTTGTGTGCAGGGTCTGGGAAGTTGATGATAACCTGCAGGAAATCGGTCACTTATGGTCAGCTCAAACAAATACAAGAATTGTCATGTCAGGTATATGCAAAGGCTGGGGGGATCCTGCACATATCCTTTCCCATGTGGAAGCAGGTAACCACGTGAGCAGTCTCCGGCCAGAAGAACCACCTTCTCACATGTATTAGATTTATGAGCAGACACATTATCAGTTACATATTTCTCATAGTCACAGAGACACTACATTCATGACTTTACTGACCCTGTGTCTATTACTGATGTAGGAAATATGCCCTCTGAATCCCGTATCTCCTAGAAAGCCTTACCTCTGGGAATTTCTCCCGGATTTCCCGGATCCGCTCTCCCTTCTGCCCAATGATGGTCCGGTGGAATTTCTGCTCAATGATTAGGTCCTTGGTGCGTTCATTTTCCTGTAGAAAACAGACTTTGCATGGAGTGTTCAGCAGGAGAGTCACATAATTGTAATTACCAGCTTGCTGCCCGACAGCTTGTCATCAATGTTTTCCTCCAGACATAATTCACTCTAGGCTGACAGAGAAGGGGATCCAAGGGAATAGAGGAACTCGCACTTGTTAGGAGATCCAAGTGCTCAGTGGGCAAGGGGCATGCACCTCTGCCAGGAGGTTACTAGGGAACACAAGAGCTCAAACCCTGTGGCCTCACAGGCATCACATCCCACTAACCATACGGGAAGCAAGTTCCAGCAGCTCTTTCTTGGCCTGTTGGACCCCCTGTGGGTCTCCTTCAATTCTGATCAGGTTGCTCTTCTCATTGTCCGGGGGAATGCGCACAGACACCTTGTAGAGATCCTTAATCCTGTTAACTGCAAGGCAAGGGCTGTGGTGACACACTCTGCTAGGGCAAGATTTGGAAGCAAAGACACCTTGACTAGAGGCTGTTTGAGAACAGGCTCTGAGGAAAGGCCAGAGGGGTGGAGCTGAATCAGGGGAAAGTGCCTCTTCAATCCGGGGTTCGAGCAAGAGTAGATCCATGCTACACAGGAATCTGTACAATTAAATACTACAGCATCTGGAGGCACTAGTTCACTTGCCAGAGCGAGGCATCTGTTTCTTCCGCAGACAGCACTATATTTAGTTTAGAAGATACTCACTCATGTCTAATCCCAAATTCTCTTCTGCAGGGAAACTCACCATGCAGATTTCTACCCCTCCCCCCCACCCCAACTGAGTTCTAAAACAAAATTTACATAGACCAATCTGAAAAAAAGGAAAAATGACAACTCTCCAACCTCCCCAAAACACAAAAACTCCGCCAGGACACAACAAAGTAATCTGTTCAACTTTCCAAGACATTAAAGCCATCCCAAGGCCTCACTGCCCATTTATCTTCTTGTGCCAACTTCACTCTAGAAGGGCAGAGGCAGTGTAATGGAGGCAGCACCCTGGCTGAGCTGCAGAGCCACAATATCATTGACTAATCACAGAGAATCTGAGCACAGGAAGGATGAGAAAGGAACCCCACTTACTGTTAGCTCCATTCTTGCCAATGAGGTGTCGGTGGAATTTGTGGTCAACATTGATTTCTGCATAATCCATCCGGTTGATCTACAAAGAATTGTACAGAGCTAGGCAGGGAAGGCCCCCTCTGCTGCTGCCTGTGCCCACTGCCAGTGCAGGCACTGACTCCAGCTGACAGCTACAAGCAGCCTTGCTAGTGAGCAGAGCAGAACACTCTTCTGCTTTGAGCTGAGAGCACCATGCTTGTGAAACTTTTAAAGGGACTTAAATGCCTCTCCAGCTGTGACTGAAAGAGAATCTTTCCTTCTCTGCATCAAAAGACTAAAGATACACTCATGATTTTTTAAGGAAAGCTTCATAACCAAGATTTTTGTTTATCTGTCACACAACTTGTCTTCTGCAAGTTCTGTTAAGCCTCTGAAGATACCCACAGACATGAGCTACACTACATCTCTGTTCGTGGCCCCACCTTTCCCCATTTTCTTCTTATACACCATAACTAGTACCACCAACTTACCAGATCCTTGACCATGACTTCAATCTGTTCCTGAGCCACATTCACATCTTCTGTAGGTCCTTCCAAAGTGATTTTGTCTTCTCCTTCAGTGAATTCGATGTGAACCTTGAGACACAAGGCAAGGAAACCACTAAGAATTTTCCAAGACACAAACCAGGTAAATGCTGTCAGTCAGGCCTACACCATCAATCCCTACCACATAGGGTACATGTGATTTTAGAAGTAGGCAACCTACAATTTTGACCATATCAGTGTCATCTGGAGCATAAGGTTTCGGTGCTATCCTGGAGTCTGCAAGGGCTTTGGAGAAGTTCCTCACCTAGCCTTTCTCCAGATACCATCTAACTCACGAGAGAGAAGCCTCATTGAGGTCAGCATTTACAGGTTTTCTTCTACATCAATTCACCAAATACTAACACATACAGCTTCCCTTGAAGGACTCAATGCTTGAAAGTAATATAGGATGGGAAGTGTTTGAGGCAGCAGAATTTGGGAGTTCCCCTGAATATTTTAAGATATGTGTAATTTCCTCCCTGGTTTTATCCATAGTAGAATACATTTCTCTCTCCACAAAGAGTGAGCTGGATTAAACCACATTCTACTTCAACTGGTGCTAAGCTAATACTTCATCCATACCTTTGGCATCTGCTGAGTTATTTTGGCCAGGTTTTGTCCTTTCTTTCCAATGATGAAACGATGAAGCCAAGAGGGGGCTGAGACCGAGGAGACGGTAAAACTGTTGGCCTGAGAGACAGAGAAGCTGTTTGATGGACAGACCAGAAGAGGCCTTCTCAAAAATTCACTTCCAATTCCCATGCTGCACCCTCCTTATTGAGTTCTAAGCTGCATCCTCTGACAGCAACCACTTCCCTCCACCTATCAGTGCCCAGGGATGTATCTTTGTGGGGCTTTCAAAGGAGTCCTGGCCAATCCTGCCAATACCTTTGCATAGACTTCAGTCAATGCTTGCCCAAGCTTTTCAGGCTCGCCTCGCAGTATCACCGTCTCCGAGCTACTGTCAGTGGGTGGGATCTCAACAGAGACTCCAGTTTTCTCCAAGATCTCCTGCAGGGAATTACCCTTGGGGCCGATGACATACTTGTGCTGGGACTTCTTCACCTCCACAGCGATGGTAGTAGTCTTCTTTTTCTGTAGAAGCAGAGGCATTGAAGCATCAATCACAAGGGAGCAGGGAAGGACAAAAGTGAAAGGAAGAGACACAAGATGCAGTGAAGCTCAGCACCCAGGAAAGATCAAAGCAAAGGTGAGCACAGTTCTTCAGTACCCCAGCATCTGCATCTTTGCGACCTGCCTACAGAAAATCCTATTCTCAAACATTTACAGTTTATCTGTAAAATTCTGATTAAGATCCCTGGGACACTACATGGAAGAGACCACATACACACCCTTGCCCTTGCACAATGCCCAGCTGTCCCCAGGCAGTGCTGTAATGCAACACCATGCTATAAGCTGATTATCTGTGTTGAAATTCAGACTGGTATAAATACAGATGTAACCATGAGGAAAAACAGACCAACAACCCACAACAAGGATATTCCCAGTGACACTAGCAATGGAAAATAAACTGAAGTGAAATTTACTTTTCAGCAACTTCTACTCATGTAACAATTTTGATACTGTTAGTTGGCCACACTGTAGCTTTCACACTTCCCTCCTTCCTTTGCAGCACCTGTGAAAACATGCACCCAGAGAGTTCTTTGTGGTCTGCTAATTACCATTACAAAAAACAGGAGATCTGTCACCTTCACGGCAAAATCACCCCAAGTCCCACTCTGCTGAGCAAGGAAATGGTAAGACCCAGGTCCACATACTGCAAGGGCCACTGAACAAGAGCTGACACAAGGAGCATGCAACTGAAGGATGCACAAAAGTAGAAGAAGGGAAGAGGGGCTGTGAGCAGGTGGGGGGAAGATAGGAAGCTCTAGGGACCATCCATACCTTCTCCTCATAGATCTTCTTAACACGAGCCACAGCCTGGGCCAGCTGCTCCTTTTCCCCTGTGAAGACTATCTCTGTCTTGTTAACGCTGGGCGGAGGAATGTTGATGCGTGTCCCTGTCTCCTGCATGAGCTCACTCACCAGCTTGTTGTAAGGGCCAGCAATGAAGGGATGGTACACTTTCTCCACATCCAGCCGCTCCACGGCACGCTTATCCTAGAAGAATCCAAAACAGTCCTCAGTGGAAACTGCTGTTGATACTACCATCTCTGCCACATACAACTGAATTCCTAGTGCTGTCTTACTTGACACTCTAGCCCAAGCACCCTTTCCAGTTTGCAGGTTCCATCCTTTTCCATCTACAAATACTGCTGTTCCCAGTTTATGATAGCCTCTAATCTCTTGTCTTATCTCAGCTGGCATATAATGTGGTTCACTTCAAAATATCAGAAATGCTTATCTGACTTTAGAGATATGGACAAAAGCGAGATTCAGAAGGTGCAGAACATGGAAGCAGTGCTCAGCCAGCCAGTGGAACAGTATACATCTCTGTTCACATTAACAGCGTTACCACTGGCTGTGGCCACGGTGACTACAAACATCTAAAATACCATGGAGAACCAAAATGGCTGTTCAGATAATGACATGAGAGAGATCCCAATACTGAAGTACCTGCTCAGCAGAGATCAGCAGGATCTCGTGTCGGGCCTTTTCAATCCCTTCTTTAGTGCCAGTGATCTTGATCTGGTTGCTGGGGTCATCTGGGCGGGGGATCTGAATCTTGGTTGCAGTTTTGAGCTCCAGGTCCTGCAGCTTCTCACCATTCTTTCCAATGACAAAACGGTGGTGCTCCTTGGGGATGGCAACTGTCGCTGAAGCCTGCAATACAAAAGCCAAGCATCTATTAGAGCCCTTGCCTGTACAGGGAAAGCTTTATCAGATGCTGCTTAGTGCTACAACTGAGGAGTAAAAACAATGCATTCTAGCACACCACTGATACTACACCAGAGGAGTTGATCTAAGGTGTCTGTATTCCAGGAGTCTAAACCTCACTGTTCCCTAAAAAGCTTTCTGTTTTCCCAGGAGCAGTACTCTGGATAAGCAAAGGCCTTCAGGCACAGATGAGGAGGTAGGTGTCTATGCTCCACTGTCTCACAGTCTCTCAGCACCAGAGAGCAACTGGGATGATGGCTCTGGGGTAGAGTTTATCTGAACTCTGATATCTGCTGCCAAGGCTACAGAGAAGAAGACATAGTCTGACTCCTAGGAAACTGAAATTCAACACCTGAAACTTATTCCAGCAGGCAGAGAGCTCAACTATGCTTACCATTACTGAGTACTAAGGTGTCTTCAAAGCAGCACACGCTGCTTCAGGGACCACTTCTGGATGGCTCCTCTTGAAAAAGAGGGGTCTCCAGAACTTTTCTCAATCTAGCATTAGACGGCTGGTTTGTAACAGGGATTCCTGACTTCTTCCCTTCTCAATGAGTTTTTACTGACCTGAGAGCTTAGGATTGCTGCTATGCTCTTGATCCCAGTGAATATGTAACTACTAACTAACTAGGCACTTACAATTCAAGCTACAATGGAAAAAGAAATAAATCAAATCAAAACCAGATCACTTAGTGTGACCCTTCAACTTCCTGTCCACATACTGATGCCAGCCAAGCCTAGGATAAGTTGCAATACAGACACACCTTTCAGATGTGAGGCCAAGTAGGAGGGATATTTGAGGGCAGTGGGGCATGGATCTGTGGTAGTACAACCTAAGCTATTTTTTCAAATGCACATTATGTAGGGTTTGTCCCCTTTTCTTCCCTGTGGCAGGGTATGACACACAGGCTGAACAGCTCTGAGCAGACATGGTATTAACTATTGCATTTACTACCTTGGACATTACACTTTAAAACATACCACGACACCTGGCTGTGATGGATCTTAATGAGAACTACCACTGTGATAATGAACTCAAGAACCTGAAGGTAAGAAATCAAAATGCAGAGGGCTGAAAGGAGAAGCAACTCAAGGTAGGAGTCTGCAATTACTTACCAACAGGGCTCAAGTTACACAACTCAGAATCCCAATCTGAAGCTTCCAGCATTTGGCAGAACTCCCTCTTCTCTACTTTTCTTTCTCCCATCCCTGTACATTCTTCTCTGAAGGACTTCAGAAAAAGCACCATTCCATTCTCACACACTATGAATTTTGCATGAGGGGCCTGTGCCCTGCCAGCACCAGCACCTCAGCACAAAGTCACAGATTGAAGACTACACCCTTCATGCAACACCATGACCAGTAATTAGCTTTGAACCCTATTTTAAGCCTCATTTCCATTCCAAATTGCCAACTGTATGCTTTGAAAATATATGGCAAAGCTGAATTAGTCATCTAATAACACCTCTCTGGCTTATAAGCACACACACCCAAGGGTCTCAAAAGCATTCAGGAGTCTTGAGGAAGAGCAAAGATCAAGTGAGAAACAGTTAGCTGCCCTCACCTGAGTCTGCAGTCGAGCAACAATTTCCTTCCGAGCCTTCATGACTGCTTCCAGCTTGCCAGAGACCATGATGGAAAGTCCCTGGTCCTTTGCAAGAGACAGCTCCAGGTGAGCTCCTGTCTTCTGCATGATGTCAAGGCAGATCTTGGCCTGCTCGCCTTCTCCGAACTGATTCATGTCCTTGTATTTCCTCTCCTCCAGCGGCACATGAAACACCTGCTCAGCCACAGACACACAGAAGAGCACAGCAAACTGTCAGTGTGCTTTTGTCTGACAGTTCTTCCTGCTCCCGTGGCCACACAGGACGTTAGTGGCAAGCTGACCTCCCAGGTTTGTGCAGCACATCAACCAGCTGTGCCCAGGGAAATGCAGGAACACTGCAGCAGCCAGTCTGCCCCACACTAGGACTCTTCCTAAAGGGGGATTAGCACTCACTACAGGAATTCTGCAATCCTCCCTTCAGGCCTGCTTCAGCTATTTGTGGAACAGGGATGCAGAGCTCCTTCCAGATAGTTTTCCAACATATCCCTCCCCTCCAGAGCAGTCCTAGCTCTCAGCTGCAGTACCAGGGTAAAATAAAACAAAGAGGCTGACACACCAAGGATTTCATAATCCAGGGAATGCCTCACTTCACCTACTTACCCAACTTTGGGAGTGGGGAAAAGACAGTAAGACATCCACCAACCTGAGTGATAACAGAAGCCTTTATTGGTCGAATTTTGCTCCAGGGACCAGTGGGTTCCTGGGCAGTTTCCAAGCATGGTGCTTTCTCAGGGAGTGGAGGGAAGGCTTCCTTGTAGGTTGGAGGATCATTCTCTTCTTCAGAGTTTAAAGCTGTAACTGGAAAGCAATTAGGGAAAATGAGTCAATTTACCTGCAGAAATGCCCCTCTTCACAGGCAGTGCAATTGTAATTAGGCACCTCTAACAAGGGAGAGCAAATGGCTTGTGCCCTGCTGTTAATCCTATTACAACTATGCCTATGAGGCTGCTAAGTCTGGAGCACAACTGACATGCAGTTGATGCCACAAACCACCAGCCTTGCCTGAGCTGGCACAGAGGGTGCAGGGAGTGAACATGCAAGTGAATGGTGGCAGCAAACAGCACCTTATTGCCAACTCTGTCAAGAGGGGTTCAATTAGGGCAAAACAGGCTGAGCAGAAAGACGTGAAAGGACCAGAGCAAGGGTGCAGATCAGAAGGGGATAAGACAAACATAAACCCAGAGAAAAGGCAGGAAAGGGACTATCGTTAGGGCAAAGTCTAGGGAAAGCCTGCATGCCTGTACATTATGTTTGCCTCACTTGTGCACTGGGCCATACCAAATGGGGCAGTTCACAGCTGGGAATGGATGCCAAAACCCATCACTGAGTCAGTTCATACGGTTAGTGACCGCCCCCAGCACCTGGCTCAGCAAAGGGTGGAAATGACAGCCCAGCATGCTGATCCATGAGGCTCTCATGTAGCTCAGTGCCCCACTCATCCCAGGGCTGAGAGCACTGCTAGCAAGAACTCTCTGAAGTGTTCAGGTCCATCTCCTCACAGCCCTGCATTGTGCAGCATCACCACTGTGCTGCTGGCGGTGGAAAGCTAGAGTCTAGCAAAACACTAACTTAGGAAAGGAAAAACTACACTTTTGGGGAACCAGACACACGGAGTAAGCTTGGTAAGAGGTCTGTGCAGTCTGGATCTAGAGGCACATCACAGGAACTCACCTTTCACTTGCTGCTGGGCCAGGCCGCTGCGGTGTTCAGCAAAGCTCTCCTGGGTCAAAACTGCCACAGAGCTCATTGTCGACTTCCCACCCACACACAATCCGGGTATGCCACTGGAAGAGATGGAAGTGGCAACAGTATTACCAACACCACTCCGGATGCACAGTCAGCCCAGGAAGACAAAGTATATGTTACTGAGCACTCTTCCAGTCATCCTCTTGAAAAGCACCCACAGGGTCCATTGGCTGCCCAGTCTCCTTGTTGAAACAGACAGGAATTTAGTGGGGATATTTTCTCCCTACATAGAGGTCACCAAAACCAAAGCTCCTCCCTAAGAAGGCAGAGCATGTGTAACCTAAGAAGGTCACTGGAAAGGGGGACACCACAAATTTTTAAAGCATACTCTAATCTAAAGTACAGTCTCATTAATCTATTAATTATTAATGGTGTGCAATTTTTACACAAGTGTGTGAATATCTGGACAATCAGTCCAAGACCATTTTTCATCCCTAGAGATAAAAGAGAAAGGACCCAGGAAACTGCCTCTTCATGAGAAACTTATTTAGGTGACTGACTTAGGGAGACACTCAGAAAGCCACTCTGACTAGCAAGCTCAGCAACAGCAAGATCTTTGGATCTCCCAAAATAAGAACTTACCAGCTAAATGGTCAGTAGCCAGAGAGTCCGTCCTGTAAGCTGCCTGTTTGTCAGCCTGCCAGCTTTTGCTTTAAAAGAAAAAAAAAAAAAAAGTTAAATAAATTAGGTCCAAGACAACAAAGAACCATGACACCCCTGTTACTGTAACTTCCAACAGAGCACCACCTGTACCTTTCAAAGTTGCACCTTACCCAAGACACTCTCAAACCCAATTGTATCTCCCCACACAAGACATCTGTCATGTTTTACTTACTCTGCAGGCAGCACCACAAACTACTCAAACTTCACAGCAGGAAGTCTGGAGTACTTACTCTTTCACCACACTGGCTACAAGAGTAGCCATCCAACATCAGGCAAAAATACAATCAATAACAGATGTTCAAGAATGAAATCTCAGGGTTGCAAGCAAGACCTTCTCTAGTCAGAAGAGACTAACAACCTGAAAACCTGCCAACAACACTGCCATCAGTCACAAGTTAGGAATGTAGTTCAGTGGAGATTGGGTGAATCAACACAGACATCCTCACAAACTTAGGCAAACACTCAGGGCTCTCTATACCCAGCTGCTGGGCAGTCCAGCTCTGCAGTTTTTATTGCAATAAGATCATGCACCAGGCATTAAATCTTGTCTCCAGGCCTAAATCTGAAAGTTGGAAGAAGAAAATTTACTCTGACTTTTACATGGACTATTTTAACTATTACATGGACTATTTTAAACATGTACACAAGCAGAACCAGGAAGAAAAATACACTGCTGGGAAGGGATTTCCATCTCCTTAATCTAGATCTGCAGATTTACTGAAAAAGTGCTTAGGAATACAAGTGAAAATGTAAAAGCTAGTACGGTACACGCACTGTCAGTTGTACAATAGCCACACCCAGAGTCCCCCACAACTGTTCTGTATGCTTCTGCAGAGCCTGCACTCTCCTGAAACCCAGTGCCTCTGCCTGCTCATGGGACAAGAGGCCACTCTCCCACACACACCCTTGCAGCGCTGCTTGGACCATCTTCTGTACAGTAAACTTGACTGCTTTTCAGGAAAGTGACGGTTGCAATCTCTGACCTCCCAATATGTTAGAAAAGGCTCCTAAAACGAGTATCACTTCTAAAAACTCAGTGTTGCTGATGAGGTGTCTCACATTATGCTAGAGCTGTGATGCAGTAAGGGAGGCTGATGGTGACAGAAGGAAAGGAGGGAGGAACAGCAAGAGCAGTGATGAAACAGTCTTACAGGCCTGATCTGCACCTCAGCCAAAGCCATTGTTTTCCCCTACTTCAACATGCCTTTAACAGGCAGAAGGCAGCATGAATTGTGCTGTCAGAGCAATAGAGCTAATACTGCAATTAAGCCTGGAATGAGGCAGCAGGTATTGGGATAGCCAGTCATGCTGCTGAAGTACAGCTGCTGCAGCAATGCAGATCTCTGCAAGGCATTTGCTGTGTACAGAAAGGGTGGATAGTAACCTGATCTTGGAGCAATCTCCTTGCTGTCCAGGGTTACACAAGTGTAAGACGTGGTTACATGTCCATGGCACACGCCTGCACTGCTCAAGCTGCTGCAGATCCAAGGAAAGCAAGTTAGTGCTACGGCACCTGTTCCAGACTATCTCAGCAAGGCCTGCAGACTCTGTGGCAGCTTCTTCAGCCTGTTGGGTCACTAACGAGAGTGCCACCACCTCATGGCAAGCTCCAAAGGAAGGCACGAGGGAGAAGCATCCTAAGATACCACAAACAGCTGTTAGGCTCTGGCTGGATCCTTCCTAAAGGCACAGATGTGCTTATAACTCTCATTTCTCCAGAAAACAGCACCTGGCTGATTTTGCGTATTTTCTCCCTTAGAGGAGGAGGGTAAGGACAAGAAATCAGTGCACGACACCCAATATAGCACCTACTTGAAAGACACAACCTCAAGGCACAGCTGCTGGTTTCACTGTGTACATACCAGCTGCAGAGATCTTCCTTGCAGCCTCCACCTCAGACAGCAACCAGACATTCAAAGCAAAATTAAAGGGCAGTGTTTATCCATATGAATTTCTGCTTCGTCACCCATACAAGAAGCTAAGAACAACTACTCCTCATCTCCAGCAGTCCCAAGCATCTGGTATATTGTAGGCCTCAGGGATTTATCTCTGGCCAAAATCAGAGGCAACCATTAGAAAGGTATTTTAAATGTAATGTCAAAACCAGCAGTTCAAGTGCTGCATTTGGATCTCATACCTCCTTGGCTTCCCACTTAGGTTTTGAAATTAAGGTTACAGCTATGTCATGCCAGCGTGCAGCTGACTGGGTCAACAGGTTTCAAACTGCCTGGTTGACACACTGCCTGTGGTGCTAGCCTTGTGCACCAAAAGAAGTTACAGAAGTCTAGAGCACACTTTCAATAAAGAGAATTAAATCATCCTAAAAATAACCTCCAGCAAGGGCCAGACCTAAGCACACAGGAAACATTTGTACGAAGAGAAACAAAGGCAAAGCCATGAGTTACACTGCTGATACAATCAGTTCTTGTGGATGGAAATGTCAGTTACCTGTTATTTAAAAGCATATTTAATAAAAGCATTATCACTTTGTTAATCTCATACAGTAAGAAGCATACACAGCAAGAGGGCTGGGCTGATGGTGGTCGACACTGTCCTCTGTCAAATGTTTACACAGGACAGGGCAATCTCTTGGTTGATGAGTAGACACAGATGAAAATACTTGCTTTCTGAAAACCAGCGGGCTCCCTCAGAGACTGGAGGCCAGGCCCCCTAGTTTTGGGGGAATCACACTGACAGACAGCTGCTGTGTGGCAGAATGCAGTCTCTCGTAGCGATTCCCGACTCAGTGCATCAGAGTGCAACAGGACCGCAGCCCTGGCTGCGGGCAGCCCTGCCCCATCCCCCATGTTTACTCTTCCACTAGCGCCGGCCCCGCCACCACGTCTGGCCTCGGACTGGAGGAGCCCTGTGGCGGCCCCGCCACCGAGGACGTGCACCCGACCGCGTCCTGCCGGCCGGCCCGGTAGGGCAAGCAGAGATAGTGCCTCTCAGTAGGGCTGGGAGGGGGCTGCCCGGCCGCGCTCCGACAGGGGCAGAGGAGCTTCCCGCGGGGGGCTGCCTGCGCCCTGAGCCTACCCATGCCCGTACCGCCACCGTGACCCGGGGCAGCGGCAGGGGTCTGCCCCTCCGCTTGGCCCCCTGTGCCCGGCCCAGGGGCGGGGGAGCCGCCAGGCCCCGCGGGCCCGGCCGGGCGGGCGGCGCCGCCAGCGCCAGCTCAGCACTGGCGGCACCGGGGGCGGGGCGGCGGGGCGGGGCGGCACCCTTAAAGGGCTCACCGGGCCCCGCTGTCACCGCGCCCCCCCGCGGGGCCCAGCGGGAGGGGGCGGCGGGGGCGCGCCCAGCGCACCAGAACCGTGCGGGACCGGGGCCGGGGCGCGGCCAGTGCCACAGGGCAGCTACAGCCCCAGCTCCGGCAGCCCTGCGGGTTGCAGGCCGGGGGCGGCCGCATTAGGCGCGCAGGGGACAGGCGCTCCCGCGGGGCCCAGTGACAGCCTCGAGCGCGGTTCCGCGGCCGCCGGAACGCTGCCGGTGGCGGTAGCGCGGCAGGCACGGCCGGCTCCGGGCCCGGCCGTGGCACCTCCCCCCGCCGACGGTGGCCAGGGCGCTCGTCCTTCTATAGCCATGGCAGGAACGGAGCCCTCGGCCCCGCGGCAGGCTGGGCTGCCCGCCGCCGGCGCTCCTTGGGTTGACCAACACCGGACGAACGCTCGCCGCCGGCGGCTTTGGCTCCTATCAGAATCAAACCCTAACACCGCCGGGATCGGCGTGGAGCAGCTAACCCCCTCCCACTGACGACGGGAATCACGCCGCGCCTCGGCCCGGCCGCCCCCTCCCCACGCAGCCGCGGGGCCCGGCCTCCCCATCGGCCCAGCCCCACACGCCGGCGATACGCGGCAGCTGCTGCCGGCCGGCACAGCCGTGCCACCGCCGTCCGAGGCCGCGCCGCGGGGCCGGACTTCTCCCCACCTCCCGCCGCCGGATGCCCTCCCTCGCTGGACTTTGTCCTGGCCGGCCCGGCCGGCGGGAAGTTAGCTCTGACTTTCCAGGCAGCGCCGACACGTCGGTGCCCTGGGGAGGATGCGAGGCCGCCTCGGGCCGGGCCGCCCCGCCACCCTCCACGTCGGCGCCGCGGCCGCGGCGGAGGGGCCGCCCCCCGTCCCCCGTGACTCACTCCGGCCGGTGCCCGCTCGCCCGCCCTTGTGGAGAAACGGAGCGCTCCTGGGAGAGCGGCGCGGCGCCCGCCCCACCGCCTATATAGGCCGGGGCGCTGCCAATCCCCGGCCCGCACGTCAGCGGGACATGCCCCTTCCCGGCTTCCCGGCGGGGCCGGCCCGCCACGCGTGCCCTGAGCCGCCGGGGACGCCCTGCCGCGGCCGAGCGGCCCGGGAGCCTGCGGCTTTGCTGGCGGGCCCGCGGGGCGCACGGCAAGGGAAGCGAGTCTCCCGGGCGGCTCCCGCCCTGCTCTGCGTCCTCGGGACTGCACCGCCGCCTGCTCCTCGGCTGCTATCCGTGGTACAGGCCCTTGCTACCTTGCTACCTTCTCTGCGGATTCACCTCGGAACGCGCCTCCCGACCGCAGCCCAGCGGCAGAGGGGGCTGGGGCTGCTGTAGCACCGAACCGCCCGCGGGCTCCTACCTAGCCCCGCGACGGCCCCAGAGCTCAGCATTACCCACTTTGGTCAAGCCCGGTTTCGCGCAGGGTTAATGAGTAGTGGCTCATGAAGGCTCTGATCAGCCTGAAAAGCCACGGCTTAGAGAAGAGAGCGAGCACCTGGGGCTCCTGCCGGGTCCCGCGAGTGGAGAGGGACAGCGAGGACTCAGCCCCAGGTGGCCGCGTAATCCGCCTCCTCCTGCTCTGGCACAGACTGTGCCAGGGCAGCAGCTACCGGAAGCGAGGCTGCAGGCAGGCAGAAGGGACAAGGTATGAGTTAAAAAAAAAAAAGAAAATAAATAAAACCACAGAAAACCCCAAAATCACAACTCACTCCCTTATCCCCCAGAAAATAATAATAATAAAAAAAAGAACCCCTCGTCTTATTCCAGTCTCTAACTGGAAATGGGGAAGAGTGAAGGAGGGGAAAGGCAAACCATCAAGCACAATACCCTCCTTTCCTGCATAGAGGATGTTTATTACTTTGTGCAATATAGATGTTTTTAATTATTAGCTCTGCACTCTCAGGGAGCCAAGGAAAAAACCCTGTCCCATCATTGTACAAATACATCGAATTTGAACTGATTTTTGCATTAGCTCATTTTCCTGCACAGCATTAATCTTCCTCATAACTTAGTGACTGGTTTTCTCATTCCCACTTTGAGAGAGCACTCCCAGATCCTAACAAACAAAACAAAAGAAACTGCTCTGTGGAGCTCTGACCACAAAAAAAAATTGAGGCCTTTGGCATAACTGCTTTTGATTATGTGCAGTAAATTTTAGAGATTTCATGCACTGTATTTATGGAAACATGGATGGTATTTAGCCTTTATTAAAATTATTACTTATTAATAAACAAGAGTAGATTTCTCCATGTCTCCTCTTTTTATCTTATGGCTGGGAAGACATGATCAAAACACTTCAATTTTTTGACACAAACAATTTGTAACTATAAATAAAGACACACTTGTGAGTGAAATCAGGAAGCCTGCTGAACAGAGGAGAACAGTTGTCAAGAAGTGACACTATGCCCAGGCACCTCCATGATCTATCTCCCCCACCCTAGTCTCAGAAATCCTGTTATCTCTGTGAGGATGCAGGAATACCACTCCAAGCATGGGGTTCTCTACAGGCAGGCTGTAGAGAACCAGCTGACCACTGCTGCCACGTCATACCTGCTCCAGGAGCTGGCTCTGGCTGCTCTGACACAAACCACCTGGACTGGGATGCCATAAGCAGCTGGAAGGCCCACAGGCAGGCTGGTGCCACCAGGTCATTTGGTAGCTCATGCAAAAGCAGAGCTCCAGGGACCTGGGAAAACTGCAGCACCTCCAGACCTTGGGCAGCAGCTGCAGTGCAGGGTGTTGTAATCTGGGACTCAGAACCTTGCTTAAGGTGCAGGATGTTTTTCAGGTGCTTTTGCTCCCTTCTGTTTATGTCCCCAGTGCAAAGGAGGCAGGCTCCTCTCAACACTCTAACCTCCAATTAACTCTAACATGAGTAAGTACCACAATCCCCTGTGCCAGGGAAGCATCTTACCAAGGCACCAACATTGTTCTCCCTCAACTCCACCTCATTATCTGGTTTAGCAGGGGCCCTCTGTGGGGACATACCACCTTGTGCCTCTGGGATAACAGCATGGCCCTCTCCTGCTTTCTCTCTGTAGTACTGCTGCAGCCATGGGTGGCCAGATCATTATGGATTTCTGGCTTCTATCACAGCTTACTCTCCAGGTTTGCTTAAGAGGCAAATCTTCCTCTGCCTGTTGCTCTTCCTTTATTTGCAGTTGCAAGTGGTGGGAGGGAAGCCTGTCAGTCCCAGAAGCTACTGGAAAGCCTAGAGCACCTCACCGTGTGCCACCCTCCAATAATGATTTCTGCTGAAGGAAACCTGTCACAGGCTGTTCTCCTCAGGGGAAGATCTTCCACAGGGAAAGAGGTGTGTGTATGGGGGGGGGGAAAGCTCACCTTTCTAAGTACTTAAGTGTCCTCTGCATGGATAAAAGCACATTTAGAGGGTACCAGGAGGCTTATTTCAACCTCCTGCTCCCACCAGCACAATGACCATCTGTGTTCCATCCCGTACCTTTTCTTCAATGAGGCTATGGAATATGGGCAGGCAGGGGTTTGCAGGGATTGCTTCAGGTCTGTTCTGTCTACTTACTTGCCAAAAAATGCAATCTCACATTAAAAAATAAATTTAAAATATAATTGCCATGGAGAGGTGTGTAAAATGGTTCCTCTATAAGCAGGTGCAGGAATTTTTGGTAGCTGAGGGGAATGGAGACAGAAGGAGGTACCCAACCCCTTGACAAACACTAACCTACCACTCTCCCTCAAGCAACCCATATTCTGGCAGCATTTCAACAGGCCCCAGTTTCATGACTTGTTAGAACACCTGAAAAAGAAGCCTCCCAAAGAGAACACCAAAGGGTGGCAGAAAGGGTAAAGGATTGGGCTGTGCATAGTTTCCATGGCTTACCAGACTGGCAGCTCATATCACCAGTCTGAGGGAGGACACAGAAATGGGACCAGCAAAAACATCAAACATGCACAGAGATAAAACTAACACTGAACTAGTTTGGGGCTTGTTTTTTTTGGAACATGTGTTCACCCACATGAAGGCAAGGTTGAGGAGTTAAGAAGCTTTCCATGATCGCTTCACCCCAGAGCTCTTGGGGAAAGGAAAGAAACTGTACCTTAAACTGTTGGAGCAAAAAGGTTGGTCTTTCCTGGCACATCTACCCTCAGCTGAGCTGGGATTTTGCAAAGCATTTCTTCTAGTCTATTTGTATTTTCTGTTGTTATAAGAGTCCCATTCTTCCTGCCAGAAACCAAAAGCCTTATTTGGAAAGCAACCCAAGTATGTTTCAAACAGTATGTGCTGTGATTTTATTTCCTGTTAAATATAACTCCAGATTTCTAAAACTGTACAAATAAGCACCCTTTTAGTACTCTGGGTGCTTATCCCACACAATCAAGTCAGAGAACACTACAAAAGAGCTACCCCCTGAAAGCATCCGTTACAGCACATCCTTTGCCAGTGGCATTAAGAGTAAAGGGCTGGGGGCATACTTTGCATCACACTAGAAAAAGCAAGCAAAAGAGGATTCAGGGCACTTGTATGCCAGAGAGAACTGAGGTTCTCAGCCAAAGCAGGATATGTCTCTCAGCTATCACTATGTATGTCTACAGCTATCACTGTGGCTCACCAGGGGATCTTCCAACAGAACATTTGCATTTCTACAGAAAATCTCTGTTAAACTGAAGTTATGAGTCAAACTATATAGACAGTTCTGCTAATAGAATAAAAAAAGTTTCATCATAAGATATGACTGAACATGAGTCCACATTGCTTGTGTCTCTGTGACTTTGAGACTGGTTTTTACTTATTTGCCATGAGGAAGAAAAGTTCCAGGGATGTGCAAATCAGACACCTATCTTCCCTATTATACATCAGTGCTGAGAAGAAATGATTCTGTAGGCTAAATTCTGCCCTTCATTAGGCTGAACCTAATGCAGCCCCACCATCTTCAGAGGCCCACTGTAAATACCCAATTAGAGAATTATAGAAAGAGAAAAATCTACCCAGGCCTAGACACTAATCCCAGCTCCAACCACTTAGTGATATTGTGAAGAAGAGAGGGTGGTAGAAGATGAGTGACTATGTGCGTTTGTCTCACACAGGATCTGGCTGGTATAAAATACAGGATAGCAAGTGGGTATAACACCATTTGCCTTTCTCCTGGTAGCCTACGTGGTTTGAAGCAATGCTCTTGCAGGAACAGAAAAGCTGACTTGATATTGAAGGAAAATGACAAACTTCAGCAGGGTTCTCAGGCAAATATGGGTCTTTAAAAGATTTATTTCCTGGGCATTCTGACAATAAAATTATGCAACCATTAGCTAGCAAAGAATATATACACTGCACTTCCTAGCCTATCACAGGGTGCTCTATAAGGGGCATGCAGGATAAGTAGGAAGAACAGGAACAACTTACTGGTGTGGACAGAGCTCTAGTATGAACAAGGAGCACCAGGCCTTTTAACTGCAGAGGGAAGAAAAGCTGCTGGTTTTACAGGGACACTGTGAGAAAATGAGATTTAATGAAAAAAACCAAAACACAACCAAGGAAAAAAACCCCACCCAGTGAAGAGACTCAAGGTCTGCTCTTAGATTTGGTGAATTGACCAGCAAAATTCTCTTGGTTGCCCTGGTTGTGCACACAGCATCTTGATTTTCTCTGTGGACTCCACACCACCACAGCTCATTATTTCAAGTTGTTCAGAATGCTGTGATCCTCAGACGTCAGGTGCTCTGACAAAATAAATGCCGTTTCAGAGATGAGGAAGAAAAAAATCAATGGACAGTTTAATGAAATCTATTCAAAAGCAAAGCAGAAGGAAGGCAAAGAGGACCAGTCTGAGTCTGCCC